CTGAAAGGAGTGATACAGGGAACAGGCATCAACGCTTCCAACACACTGACAAATGGAGCGAAGTTTGGAGACCAAGCACATCTTGATGGCCAGCGTCGCGCTATCCCAGCCAGAGCTTTAGACAACGGAGACATTGGGACCTTTGAAACTTTGCTAAAGCTGCTGCTCAACCCTTGCGAGTGAAATAATCTGGCCGACCTCTCGCCAGGTGGTGGGCCCGCTCTTTCCCTTCACGCATCGCAGGACGGGACATCGATTCGACGGCGAGCGGCGAGCGGCGAGCGGCGAGCGGCGAGCGGCGCGACGCTTTTTTCGACGCTTTTTTTCGACGCTTTTTTTCCCGTTTTTGTCGCTTGAGAAGTCCCAGTCCAGTGGAATGTGCGGCAAGGAAGTAAATGACAACTCTTTGGGGAGGCTTGGAGCCGTGCCATGCCATTCGCTTTGTTCGAATCGAGCCAGGAAGTTGGAGTTGATCACGGAGTGGCACCCTTGGTACAGCGAGGCTGGGGGCCTCGGGTAGGATTTGACTTATACCAACTTATACCAACTTATACCTTTATGTTATACCTTTATGAGCGTTGCAACCCGCAAAGCACGATGCGCATGCCTCTTTGTTCTGGATCACATCTCACTTCCAGGAGGCTGGCCACACCTCGCCCTGGGGTCGCCCCATCCTGCCCCCAGAGAGACTTGGCCGGAGACTGCATTTGCGAAACCTCCATGGGCTTTGCGCGAGCGGCGGTGCTGAGGAGCTTCAACCAGATCATGTTGGGCCAGGTGGGCGGTGCAGCGCCAGCAAGGTTTCCTCCTACGGGGGATGAGTGGCTGGAGAAGGCTGGGGTGTTGGCAATGTTGGAAAAGCTGACACGTGGTGGAAGACTCTGACAAGCCGAGGCCTTGAACGGCCGCACCCCTGTTGGCCTCTTCGGAGGCTGCGAGGCCAGAGTTGCTGTTTTTATGGACCTTCGCTCGACATGATTCTGCAAGCGGTCGATTTTGCGCATTGGGCAGCGGTGGATTCAGGAGTCCCTTCACCCAATTGTGTTTTGTTGGACACGAACTGAAGCAGGAAGCTCGGCAGGTCATCCTCCATGCCGGGCCCATCTTTGTTGGCGAGGCCTACCAGTGCACGCGGCAGCTGGTGGCTTTTGGCGAGACTCCCAAAGCAGAGTTCAGGCGCCGCAAGGGTCAAGGCGGTGTGTCGCGAACGGAGACCCGACAGATGGACCCGGACCTTCCTGCGGGATGCCTCCGGGAAGCTTGTGGCCGAGATGACGCTGCAGGATCGAAGTTTCGAGATTCCGCGCTTCCCCGCGAAAGCGCGCTCAGCGGCGCTCAGGGCGCTCAGGGCGCTTAGCATCGTTGCTTGCAAAGTGCCCAGGACATGCAGCTGAAGAACTCCCTGGAGGGCTATGCGGAGCTGCGCGCCCAAGCCGACGCAAAGGCAAGGCGAAGAATTCCATGCCAATTGGACAGGTGGAACGGGTGCTGTTCGTTCTATGGAAGCATTTGCAGTCTTGGAGCCCTGAGTGTTTCAAGTTTCTTCCGCACGCAGGCCAAGCTGTGAGATCGCAGAGATTTGCGCAGGAAAATGGGCCGGGTCGCTTGCATCTTTCCGGGTCCATTTGAGTCCATTAACTTCCTCCCAGAGCTGGCTCGATAGGCTTGAGGTTGGCGCGCTCCGAAGCTCAAGCGGCGCTTCTTGAACCCCTGGCCCCCGGAAGCTCGCCGTCGGCGCGGCGCATCCCTCGTCCCTGCCCTCAGATGTGATCGCCGCGTGTGCCGCATGTGCCGCTCGTGCCTCAGCCGAGGCCCAGCATGGTCGCGGAGGGCCCAAAGACAGGCAGGTGGGGACTGGCAGGGTGTGCACAGGTGGCCAGCGGGCGAAATTTGAAATTTATTCATATGACAGGTTTGGCGTTGGCTTTTACACTGCTCCATGTTCTCCTTCCTTTCCTGACAAATCAGGGGCTTCTGCCCGAGCCACGTGAAGTTGTGCTCCATTTTTCAATCAATTGTCAAGGCTTGCTTGTGTTGCAAGTTGACCCACACCAAGAATCTTTCTGTTTATTCTTGTGGTGCATTGGCTTGCTGCTCACCCTGCGATTTGTGTTTTGAGCCACAAGTCTTGCGGGGACGGAAAGAAGCGTGGCGAATTGCAGACATTCGTTGCCGGCTCTGGCTCTGGTTTTGCGACCCAAACATTGTTTGCCAGGTGTGGTGGAAAGCTTCTACGACTTCTTTGCGTCAGCCCTGGCATGTCGGCTCTGGCGCTTCCATCGGACGCAGCGATGCCGCGCTGCCAGGCAGCTGTACTCAAGCAGCTTCACGGCGAACCAGCCCTGGCCCTCCTCATTCCTGGGCAGCTCGGAAGGAGTGGTTTTCAAGTGTGGTTTATCAGCAAGAGAGTGAGCAACTTTCACAAGTTGTGCACTTTTGCTAGAGGGAAAACGCCAACTTGAAGACTGCAACAGTGCATGTTGTCCAACTGCATGTTTTGGCTTGCGAATCAAGTAGTCTCAAGTACCAAGCGCGCTCCGGGCAAGCTTGTTGCATCCGAGGCAGCAGTGTCCGAAGCCCAGAGCACCCTCTGGCTTTGCGCTGTGATCAGGGCGATGAAGTTGCCCAAGTCTTGGTGGAGATGACTGACCCCTTTCCTTTTGAAGCCCCAGAAGGAGATCGGAGATCCCGGACACGTCTTTTCGCGTCGCCTTGCCTTCTGTGCCTCGAGCATGGTCTCAGGCTCTAGAAGGTCCCGTGCCGCGGGGAGACGACCGGGCCCGCCACACACGTCCTGTCTCAGATGTCGCCGCTTTTGAGAGGGCTCGTTTCGGAGAGGTTCCCCTCTTCCTGGCAGGGCCTGGAGAACCAGCCGCCTTGGGAGGCTCCCAACCGCAAGGCCGGCTTCGGATTCGGCTTGGTGTATGGAAGGAAATCCAACTGGAAAAAGGTCTACGGTACGTGGATCAGTTATCCAGTGACAGGGGCACATTTTCTGAACCCAGGCCGAGCGTGGCCAGGCTGGGAGAGAGGTGTTGCAAAAGAACGCATGCGGAGTTTGTCGTTGGGCATCCAGACACGAGGTGCAGTGCTGTTTTTGTAGGGTCTCTCTCATGTTCACCATGTGACCGCACCGCCAGTCTCCCCAACCTCGCGGCTCCCTGGTGCCCCCCGTGTTGTTCATAGCCAAGATTGGTCGATGTCGGCTTGAAGCACCTTTTGCCGTCGGGGCGGGACCGCTGTTGGAAGTTTTGGCAAAGGCAATCCCGGTCTGAGCTTGCATCATGCGCCTTGTGAGGTACCTGGCAACGAGAGGCGAGGGCCCAAGGTGATGACGTCCATCATCACAGCTTCACCGTGCTCCAGGGTTGTCGTTTGGATGTCCTTTGTACGGATATGATACACCTTGAAAGAATGCACAACCACCGTTTTTGAAGCAAGCTGACACTCGTACCCCAGCAAGCCTGATGAGTGATGCCTTCTAGCAACAGCTGCGGACCCCTTGCATGCTTCGTAGTTGGCCACATGTAGCACAGGGATGAGCACATGGAATATACCGATTTTCAACACTTTTGCAGTCACATGCACGCCAAATCCCACACACACACACATGCGTCACAGAGGTACATGCTTTTCTGGACTTTGGAGGCAAAGACCTTTGGCCACTGAGGTGTCCCAAGCCACATCCGCTGGAGTATGGCTGGCCTGAGGACTATGACTCGTACTTGTGAGGCAGAAGGGCGGCGCTTCCCATCTGACAGCATGCAGGATGAGTTCCACACACCGATGAAGCCGCCCAAGGCGCTGCGACGCCACCGGATCGGAGCGTTTGGAGTGTGCAGAGGTGACTTCGCCTTCTCCCCACGGCTTCCCAGACCCCATGGTCGGGCCGCGCATTGGGGGGGCTCAGCTCAAGTGAGTTGCGGGGTGTTGCAGGGGGAGTTTTGGTGCCAGGAGCCGAGCGCACGTGGCCGTGAGCCGCAAGCGGCCCGTGAGCTGCAAGCGGCCCGGGAGCCACGGGAGCCCCGAGAGTCCCAGCACGTGGCAGCCTCGGGCATCCCAGACTCTCAGACGGGACTCGCGACGTTCCCATTTCTCTGAGGACAGAGAGAGGGAGGCCAAGGCGCGGGAGCAGTGGAGAACGAGCATTCTTCGGATGCAGCCAGGAATGGATGCGACAGCGGGAGCGTGCCCAGCCTCAGCGGTGCAGGTTGAGCCTGCACACGGCACACTGATGGCACTGGTCAGGTGAGTGCCAGGAGTCAGAGATGAAGTTCAAAGAGGATAATTGGATGCTGGCCTTCTCTCATATTTAACATGAACTCACGCGGCCATCGATTCAATTCAAGCAGTATGCAGCTCTAAATGCCACGTGCTGATAGAAGCGGCTCGGATAATGGCAGCGGATCGATTTAAGCCTGGGTCAAAGGGCGTCAAGATGCTCGAAGGCGCCACGATCCCGGCGCGAAGAGGCGAGCCAGGAGTGACGGGGCCTTTCGGTTGTCTTTAGGCAGAAGCCCAAGGAAGGCTTCATTTAAGTGTTCGAAGCGCTCGTTGTGGCAATATGCCAACGGTGTTCGCAGGAGCCGCGGCGCAAGGAGCGCAAGGAGCGCAGGGAGCGCAAGGAGGGCGAAGCCGGACTCTCAGTCTGAGTGCTTCCAACTGGCGCCCCTAAAAAATAGTTAATAGGGGGCGTGTACGGCAGGGAATTTTCAGTTTTCAGTTTCAGGGGCAGGGTTAGTTTTCAACAAGCAAACCATTTTGTTCAAAACACCAAGAAGGATTGTGGGGAATTTTTCTAAAATTTCTAAACATTTTTTTGTGTTTTTACAATTTTTTCATTTAATAACAGTCTAAGATATTGACATTTTCAAGGTTCGGGTTTCAGACAATTGTTAAGCTTTCTGGGGGATACAAGTGTTTAATAATATTATAAGATAATAATATTAATAAACTTAATCTGAATCACTATCAACAGTATCTCTATAAGTAAACCATTCTATGATCAACCTTTTCTTTTCTAACAAATGACAGACGAATTTATGGTAAAACTCATTATCAAACATGTTTTTCTAAACGACTTTGTCTTTGTTTTCTATATATTGCCATTTCAACATTTTAAGAAAATCCCTACACATCGAGATGCTAAAATCTTTACAAGATACATAACCATCATTATGATTAAAAAGTAAATTATAATGAAATTGAGTAGCGGTTTCATAATACAAGATTAACCTATTATCGTATCCATACTCTTTTAAAGTTTTGTCAAATTCAGTTGTAAATATTGTATGTAATGACTTTTTCGTTGGACAGTTATTTAACCTCGTCATATACCAAATCCACTTATCCATTTCTTTTAAATTGTCAGGTTCGTTTTTCATTAAATGTTTTGTAATGGTGCATCTTTTACAACTTACAAAACTCAAAATATTATCAATGATACAGTCAGGTAATATGTCATTTGCTTTTTTAACTTTGTTGTTGAATATCTTACAACCACGGCATTTTACAATTTCTTTTGTCAATTCTTCTCTGATACACTTATTCATTTTTTTCTTAATATATTAAGGGGTCATTTCTTTAAGTAGTTTTTTTTTTTCTTCTTGCCTCTGCTACTTTTTGTGTCAGCGCTTTCTGGGCTTCTGCTCCTGCTTCTTGTTTCCATTTGTTCCCTCGTCCATTCACTACCTCTTGCTATTTCTTCGGGTGACCGACTTCTGCTTCTCGTTTCCATTTGTCTTATGCTCCATTGACTGCCTCTTGCTCTTTCTTCTGGTGAGTGACTTCTGCTTCTTGCTTCTACCTGTCGTCTTGTCCAGAATGATGCCCTCGGTTGTTCTTCTTCCTGTTCTCTTGATTGTTCTGATGGTGTGGATGACTTCTTTTCTCGTTTGAATAATTCAAATATGCTCTTGTCTTCTCCACCTAAAAATATGTTTCTTAACGACTTTATTTCTCGGCTTTCCTCTTTCTTCTCTTCCTCTTTCACGGTTGATGCTGACGATGATGACGTTAAATGAAGACTTTGTAAATCTTCCTGCTTTTCATCTTTTGGTTCATCTTTTGGTTCATCTTTTGGTTCATCTTTTGGTTCATCTTTTGGTTCATCTTTTGGTTCATCTTTTGGTCCTGAAATTGCATTGCTATAAATTTCATCAGCAAAATCTTTTGCTACATATCGTGTTGTTTGTGCGTCTGCCTCGTTGTTTTCATATAACTGTGATGTTGGTGCTACTTCATCAAACATATCAGGGAACAATTCATGTTGAAGAACATCTAATAATTCTTTGAACTCATCATATTAACACCGTTAATTACATTGAATTGATGTAGTTTTGAAATTATACAATCCTTCAAACTTCTTGGATTTTTTGCTAAATATACCGGCCACATCCACTTTATACCACTTAAATAATTTTTGAAAATTCGTTTATCATCAACATCTTCATTTTCAACATTTTGTAAATTCATTTCGTTTGCTTTTTCTTGCATTTCCATTATCTCAGCAGTAGTAACGGTTGTTTGCGCGTCATCGTCATCATCCTTACCTTTTTTCAATGCTTCTACTTCAACTACAGGGTCGTCTTCACGTTCATCTTCTTCTTCCCCTTCCTCTAATGGTTCTAATTCTGGCATTTCATCAGCGGACACCATTGAATGAACTTCTACACCTTCTGGTATTGATTGTTTTGAAAGAGCACTTGCCATTTCTTCGTGTTGTTCTCTCCAAAGTCTCATTTTTTCAGCAAGTTCTTCTTTCTGTTTGTTTGTTTCCACCAATCTTTCATTAATGAAAGACTGCTGTTGTTTCAGTGTGTCAGCAAGTTTCAGTTCATCATCAAGTTTAGCTCTTACACTACCACCGTCCGACGACGCTTCTTTCATAACTTCTTCTCTTCTGTTCAGTTCTTGTTTCTTCTGAATATCTAAAGCATCTTTATTATCAAACTGACTACCGTATTGATTTAATCTGTATCTGGTTGCTTTTCTGTCTATTACATTTTCAATTGATGGGCGGTTCTCATCTTCTACTAATGTTTCTTTCAATAATTCATCATAAGAAGGTCTCAAATGTAATTGTGATTTCAATGACCCTACTTTTACCGGTCCTACTGTATTCAATCTATTCATTGATTTAATCATAGTATATTGTGATTAGCCATGGTTCATATCATCATAAGGGACGTCGCGATAGTGACCGACCTGTGATGTTTGGCTCAAGTTTCATGGGTTCCGTCGCGCCTCGAATGGGCGTCGCCGAACCCCTGCGTCGACCGACGTCATCTCGGGGGAGAAAGAGACCTCGGGCCGCCGTCAGGTTGGTAGGGACCATTCGTGCGGCCTGTTGTGGGTCAAGGTTGCGGGTAACTCTTTTCTTTGTTTTGGTTGTTGTTCTCTGGTGTGTGGGAAACCCTGATCTTTGGGACCGGGGATTGGTTTGCTTTTGGGGAACCTTTCTTTTGTGGCTTGTTTACCCCAACTTACCCATTGCCTGGGCACAGGCTCGTGCCCGAATCACAGGTTATCAGCCGTAGGACTTTCCTACGCGCTTGAGACCATCAACTACAAGCTCTATGTCGACCCCACGATCACACAGGAGTGTCGTGGATGAGGAGACCATCCTAGGAGGTCTCCGCTCAGGTGAGGACTTGCCGGACTATAACTTCGAGGAAGTTGAGGTAGGTTCAGCAGGTCAGGACCATCCCGATAGGGACACACCCAGAAGCCGTGGCAGGTTCACTGACGATGGAGACGATCGCATTTTCCGTCAGGCCACCGATGATGAGCAAGCACAAAGAGCTCGCCCCGATAGGGGCGGCTCTGAGTCAGGTCTCAGGCACGGACATTTGGACTTCATCAGCATGGCGATGAACATGGCCCGCACGACCCGGAGGCCATGCCAACCCGACCCCCAAGGTCTCTTGTTCCAGGTGAATCGCAGGTCTCGGATGAGCTCGGGGACAGGCCGCGAGGACCAGGAATCATGGTTCCGGCTCTGAGAGATATCTTGGGTCAATCCACCGTCTCAAAATCCAGGTCAGTTTGATGAGCACGTGGAGAGGAAGTTCACAGGCATCGGGTACGATGCTCTGCTAACATCAACCGCAGGCTGGGGCAGTAGCGTGAAGCAGGAGTCTGATGCCGAGAGGCCTAATCCTGCTGCTGCCAAGCTTGAGTTCGATGATGATGACGATCATGCCGCATTTGCGGATCGTCGTGATGAGGAAGAGAATTTGGCACGCCGAAGCGCAAGGAGCCGTGCTGCTGCCAGGCCCAGGAGTCTCTCTCGTGGAGCTGCAAGGGACCCTCGTGTTGACAGGGACACCCGGAGCGAGAGAGAGAGGGCCAGGGATAGCCGGAGGTTCTTCAGGGTTTGGAGGCCATCCATGAGCGGAGTGGACCGATAGGTCCTCCGGCGTTTGACCATACCCCCAAATGTTCCCCCTTTTCCCAACATTACATTTGGAGGTCCGCTGCATCAGAGAGACGAGAACGCAAACCGGGTTACTGGTTCGCCGAGGATCACTGAGCGGGCTGCCGAAGTAGTTGAAGCAGGTGCGAGAGACGGAAGGCTTGCCAATACACTCGGAATCGAGGATCGTCCGTCGATCGCTAGCCCGTTAGGGCGAGATCCCAGCGACCTCGAACCGCTAAGGTCTAGCAACGAGTTCACTCCCCAATGGGGATCGGCCGCCAGGGAACGCAGTGCGTCTGCGAACCGATAGGTCGAAGGCGAGAAAAGCTAGCCCTGCACCATTTGGTTCGACTCCGCAGAATAAGGAAATGTTCGATCTCGCTGATGTTCATATCCACTCTACTCCTGAATCTCGTGCATCGAATATTGATCCCCGATCTGGCGGTAGCCGGGGAAGGGGATCCATCCCGAGTAGGCCTTCCAGGATTGATGATGGTCCTGCACTCGACCCCAGAGCGTATGTCAGAGCTGGTAGGGCTCCTGAGAGGATCGAGATATCGACTCCTCCAGCCCACAGATCCCATTCTTCTGGTGAGTCAGGTGACGCTAGGGCGAAGGAGGTGTTTGATCTACACATCCAGGAGATGCTCGAGAGGGGCGAAGTGTCTGGTTCAGTCGCGAAAGCATTCCACATCTTTAAATCAGGTTACTGAATGGTCAGGTGAGTTCCATGCGAAAGGATTGGAGCGACGAGAATCAGCAGGCGAAGGACAGGGTTAGTCGCTTGGCCACTGAGGTTGCGACTCAATCTGATGCCGGTAGGATGCGAATGATAGTTCAGCGATTTGCCGGTGAGATCGTCCCGGATAGCAGGGCCATCGTTAGGCATGCCATCGATGAACAGGCTGAGATCAGAGGATCAATTTGCTATCCAGTGAAGTTCGGGAATCCGTTAAGGACACTGAGATCGGTATTGGTCAGCTCAGGAGAATCATCAGGCCATCCGCAGGAGCCATGCTGCTTCTGAAGATGAGACCCTCAAAGATTTAGGGGAGCTCAAGAAACGGATCTTCTCGGTGGAAAAGGTCGTGACGCCTGCCGGTGATCTGACTGCGTTGGGACCCGATAGGGCTGCCAGCAGTGGAACAGATGCGAATTTCAGGGATTTGAACCTAAAGCTCAAGAAACTCCACGTTGATCACGACAAGCTTGCGA